TATTGACCAATAATAACTTGATACATAACATATACTACTCATTTTAAAAATTACCATGTCAATCATACATTAAATGCTCACTTCTCCTTATAAGTGGGTAAATAAAACATTTATGAAATGTCGAGAACATTATAAAATGTAGAGAACTCTCATGTTCAAAACTAAATCATGTTATAAACAATTGAAGTGTCAAAATAAACAGGTTCCAAATGTCGATAACAACTTTTCAAATGTCGAGAACGTCACAAAATGTCAAAAATAACAACTATTAAATACAACTAATCAACAAAAACAAGATTTCAAAGAAAAATTACTTTCTACCGAGAATTGTGGAAAACCTAATCAATTGCAAATTTGGATGAGATTAAATTTTTCTAAATTAAATTATATGATTTTTTTATGAATTGGAAGCATATATTTATTTTTTTAGTGTAAATGATTTTTTTTTACTTTATCTTCTTCATTTTCCCCAAAATTCTTGATCAATACCTAGATAATAAAAGCAAATGAATACATTAGGTATTAACTAGCATTAACGTAACTTCTCATGGAAACTATTTGTTCTTCTCGAAATTTGTGACAAATTGAAAAAGAAAATTGATTAATTTTTCATTGAGTGTATAATAGACAGTTTGATACCAAATTTTGTCATTTTTGCAACAGTTATCAAAATTAGATAGTTTTCAATTAACAAGTATGGAATTGGCCATTTTTTGGAAATTCCCCAAAAACAAAAACAAAATAAAAACTTATTTTAAAAAAGAAGTTACTTAAAAAAATTCAAATAAAATAAAAACTTATTTTAAAAAACGTTTTTTAAAATAAAATAAACATTTATATTATATATAATGCAAAGTTACAATTTTACCCTCTTAAGTTGAATGAAAATGGTGAAAAGAAGTTAGGTAGTCATGGTGAAACATTATACGAAATTGGGTGGTCACAGTGAAATGTTATATAAAATTGAGTGGTCATGATGAAATAAAATCAAATTGGATAGTCATGGCGATAGTAAGTATAAAGTTGGGTGATCGAGTGAAACAAATCAAATTGAGTGGTCATGATGACACTAAGAGCTCGTTTGGTAAAGATTAAAAACCAATTAAAATTGAAAATATAGCCGTTATTGAGTCTCACTCGTCTAATAAAAGTCAACCATAACGGTTAGTTTTTCAATTTTAATCCAATTTTAATCTCTATCGAACACGTCATAAATATAAAATTAGGTGGTCATTGGTGATTTTAACCCTATCATCACTCTAGTTCTATGCATATTGAGAGGTCCAACGGGCAACGGCAAGGAAAATTCAAAATCGGACAAAAACTTTTTTTTAAGCTGGACTAATTTATATATTAAAAAAAATTACATAATTTTTTACTTATATATATATATATTGAATTGGATTGGATTGGGGCGCTCAGTCTAGTCCCCCAGTCTGCCAGTGTCAAAGACTCAAAATGTACCCGCCCGTACGATTGGATTGTAAAGTCATCTTGAGACTGCTAATATGTATAGACCTGCTCAGGATTATATGAGAAAATGATACGGAAAACGTCCCTCTAGAGAGGCCTAAACTGAAAAAATGAATTTTTTGCTATAATTAAAAGCTTAATCCCAATTAAAATTTATATGAAAAAAAAAGGTGTCAGGCACTGAGGCGCAGAAAGGGTAAGAGAATCTTAGTACAAGAAGAGAATATTTCTCTTGGGGATGGTGATGATGTTGTCTTTGATTTATATGTAAATTTTAATAGTTATGGCATATAATTCACACACACGCAGTTGAAATAACTTGAGAGANCACGCAGTTGAAATAACTTGAGAGACAAAGAACTGAGATTTCCATGGATCGTACAAAAGTGAAGTTAGAATCAAATGCATCCACCAGCTTTTCTATTTGTTTTTGTCACTTTTCCATTGAATCCTTGTGCTTTCTACCTTATTCTTTGTAATATTTGTTCCAAAATCTTCCAATTCGAGGGAAGGGCTATTTGTAGTTTAGCACCGGGTAAATTTCGAGTTGAATCACAGCCTTTTTTTATTCTTACTTGAATACTAAGTAAATTTCGAGTTAATTTTTCTTTTTGTCACTTTTCATTGAATCCTTGTGCTTTATACTTATTCTTTGTGATATGTTGTTCCAAATTCTTCCGATCGGAGGAGAGAGCTATATGTATTTTAGGACTAGATGGGTAGATTTCGAGTAGAGTGAAGACCATTTTCTTCCGAAAGTAGGATTTTCTATTATGTTTGAATTGAATTGTCTAGAACTTATTTTATTGGAAATTATCAATTAATTGTGTTTCATTTGCATAATTTTTCACATGAAAAATATTGAAATTTTGGATCTTTTGGTATTTATTTTGGCTTTGTTTTCCAAGAAAATTGTCCATTAAAGGTATATAATTTGTTACAATTAGAGATATAATTTATTTTCATTGTCAAAAAAAAAATAATAATAAAAGTTGTCTAGAAAAGTTTTTCCTACCAAACCCATGGGAAAAGCTTTTCCTCAAAAATCAAGAAAATATAGAAAACCAATTCCATTGAAAATTTAGTCAATCAAAAATGTAAAAATATGGAAATGAAATTAAAATTTCATCTTCCATGGAAAAGAAAGCCAAATCAAACAGAGAAATACTATTCATCCTCAGTGGGGATGCATCTCCAGTCTATGTGACGTTAATGTGTCATTAAATGATAGGTGAAATTAAATAAGTCATTTAATTTCACATATCATTTAACCAACCATTTACATCCACATAGATTGGAAATGCATCTTCATTGGAGATGAATAGCATTTTTCAATCAAACAGGGTCTAAGTAAATTTCAAGTTGTCTTTTCGAAGCATGGTTTTCTATTCTATTTGTCCGAACCAGGAATCCAAGTATGCCCATAATGGTATAAACACATTGGTAAAACTATAGAATTTAGCATATCAAGAACAAGAATTGACCAACTGCATTCATATAATAATAAAGGGTTTAATAGCACAAAACGTCTTTACGTTTGACACTTTTTGCAGAAAACGTCCATATATTTCTTTTTTTACATTTTCATCCTTATTTCAACGTTTCATTGCGGAAGACATCATTTTCACAATTTTTAACGTAAAATGACCAATATACCTTTCTATTTAAATAAAACAAAAAAAAAAGAGAGAATAAAAATAAAGAACAAATTGCAATCTTACTCCAAAATATTTTTAAAAAATGCAAATGAGTCCAAATAAAAAATTAAAATATTAAAAATAATTAAAAATAAAAATAAAAATCGTTTCTCTCTCCTCTTCTTCTCTTCCCCCTTCCTCAACCTCCACCACCACCACCACCACCACCCCACCACCACAAGAAATCTTTCCTCCTCCTTAACTAAAACCCATCTTCTAGAACACCCAAAAATCTTATCTTTAGCAGTATGTAAGAAGAAATGGAGAAGAAAAATAAATGATGATCTGATTTTATCAAGAATCCATCAATGGGTTTGCCGAGAATTACCTTTTATTTTGTTCATGTTTGTCTACTCATTTTAACCATTCTTGAGTTCACCCCAGTATCCAAATCTGCACCTGACTACACCAGTTTAGTGTACAAGGGTTGTGCCAAGCAAGAATTAGCAGATCTAACAGGGGTTTACTCACAAGCACTCTCTGCCCTTTTTGGCACCCTTATTGCCCAATCCTCCAAGGCCAAATTTTACAAAACCACAACTGGCAGTGGCCAAACCACCATTAATGGCCTTTTTCAATGCAGAGGGGACATGTATGGGGTTTTACTAATATCCCCAGTCATATTGGGAAGGAGAAAGGTTCTCAACCTCCAAGTACTTCGGATTCTGCTCAGAGAAAACAACATATTTTGCTTCAGTAAGCATTACCCCTTGTGGCTCTTAATAATATACTTGTACAGTGCTCTCCTCCCAATTTCGCTGCTATTTACATTTCTTGTTTTCTGGAATTCGGCGAATATTTTGTTGAATTTAATTTCTTGTTCAGGGACCGGCTTTTATCCTTCCCCTGAATCAACAGGCGGCTGTGGCAGTTGCCTCTGCTTGACCTACTACTGCAAAGCCTCCAACCATAATGGGCAGTGTAGCTTCACCTAACATCTCCAATTCTACAGCCGCTAGTTCCTCTGCCGCTAGTTCCTCTGCCAGAGCTGGTGGAGCACCTACTGCTTTGAGCTTCAATTACCCGAACATGCCCACCAGTGAAACCCCATACTTGGCAATCTTGCAGAATAATGCATACACTTTTCCCCATACATGCTTTATGAAGTTGCAGGATTTTCTCAAATCTCCGAGATGGAAATGTTGTACAAGACTTGTAGTGGAAATAATGTTGGAGGGGCTGGATATGAGGAAAATAGAGATAGTGCATTTTCTTCACTTGCCAATTCTATCATAACATAAGTATTTGGGGTTGATAGCAGCAGTTTGTGGTGTGAGCTCCGATGGTTTTGGCAACGACGGTGGTGGTGGTGGTGGTGGTGGAGGCTGAGGGAGGGGGAGGGGGAGGAGGAGAAGAGGAAAGAGAAACAGTTTTTATTTTTATTT